GTTATGAGAATCATAACCATCATATACTAAATAATATAACAGAAAAGAATGTGTTCCACTCTTATTTTATTTTTTTACCTGTGTTCTTTGTCTGTGCCTTCTTTGTAAATCTCTTGTGCAGTCCAGTACAGGAGGACCAGTTGGCAGCTGGAGTTGGGAGTAGTGGGCAGTCTGGTAAAAAAAAAAGTACAACTACATGGTTACAAAAACCTTTACCAGCTGCACTTCTGCAGAAATAAGCCAACATTTCTTTTTTCAACACACACTGAGATCTAAAATAGATCTGATTTTAGCACACACACACACACACACACACACACACACACATATAATTAATACTTGTTATAACATATTTAGCTTCAAACCAAGTAATAGATTGTATAATAGATGGATTCACTTAACACATCACCTTACATATACACAGCACGCTACATACACATAAACATACGTTTGGCACTAATGGAACCTCATAAAAATATAATTAAAAATGTTATATCATGTCTGTCTCAAACACTCCAAATAATGTAGCACACTAAATTAGGCTTCTTTATTACGATGTTTATGCGCTTCACATGTTGTAGCTAACGGTTAGCTTGCTAAGCTACGTCTTTTCTTACCTTGACAGCTGTGGAGATTTTCTTCAAGGAAAAACTTTTGGCCTTTTAAGTTTTAGTTCGAGAATTCGCCGCTGCTATTTCCTCCGCAGCAGTGAAAAAAAAGATTGGCAAATTAAGCAAAGATGTTGAAAAGAGAGCCATGTCTCCTTAGTGCAAAGACTCGCAAAGCAGGAAGTGTCGGTTTCCGGTTGTCGTGAAAAAGACGTCGCAAAAAAGTCTTCTTGTTTCAGATACAATAAATAATCCGAGCTGCCGCGCTAAAAATCATGTTAAAAATACGAGCGTTGAGTTGGACTGACCTGATTTTGCAGATTATAATATAAAAAGGCTAAAATGCCTTATGATTTTTCCGCCAAAATGCTACGTAAATCTGTGACGTTTTGACTAGTCAGAATAACAATTCAAGATATCTTGAATGTCATTCTGACTAGTCAAAATGTGAATTCAAGATATCTTAAATAGAAAAGCCGTCTACATTATAAAATATTCAAGATATCTTGAATTAATTTTGAGATATCTTAAAAGTAATTTTGACTAGTCATAAGTACAGTTCTAGATATCTTTAAGTTAGTTTTGCCTAGTCGTTATTTGCTATCAAGATATCTACAATTTAATTTGCACTAGTCAAAACTTCATTTGTGATATCTACAAATACATTTAAGATATCTTGAATAATGACGTAATTTAAGATATCTTTAATTGTAATTATGACTAGTCAGAACTAAAAGTGAGATATCTTGAAAGCAAATAATGACTAGTCAAAATTAACTTAGAGATATCTAGAACTGTAGTTTTGACTATAGTCAAAATTCAGTTCAAGATATCTTGAATTGAAGCCTCCATACAACTCAATGGTAAATCTGACGTCATTATGACTAGTCAGAATGTAATTAGAGATATCTTAAATGAGTATTTTGACTAGTCAAAATGCAATTCAAGATATCTTAAATAACTAATATATCTAGTCAAAACTCAGTTTCAGATATCTGGAATGTAAGCGTGGTGAATCCGATTTTATGTTAAAAGGGCTTGCCATACATGATATGGTTTTTCACAGTGATTATTCTGGTTAGAGATTCATGAGTCTAACAGCCTCAGGGTAGAAGCTGTTCCTCAGTCTAGTGGTTCTGCACTTAATGCTCCTCAACCTCCTTCCTGAAGGGAGCGGGGCAAAAAATGTGTGTGCTGAGTGAGTGGGGTCCTTCATGATGCAGGTGGCTCTCTTCCTGCATCTGGAGGTGTAGATGTCTGTGATGGTGGGGAGACTGACTCCAACAGTCTTCTGTGCAGCCTTCACCACTCTCTGCAAAGCTTTTCTTTCTGCAGCTGTGCAGCCTCCATGCCACACGTTGATGCTGGAGCACAGGATGCTCTCCACTGCACACCTGTAGAAGGAGGTGAGGACTGAGCTTCCCAGACCAGCTCGTCTCAGCCGCCTGAGGAAGTAGAGTCTCTGATGAGCGTTTTTGTGGGGAGCAAAGTACCAGTATCTGTATTTGCTGTTTAAGAAAATATATTTCAAATTAAAAAAATATCAAAATATCTCATGAGCCACTGAACAGATTATAACAAAACTCAGAAACTAATCATTGAATGCAACAAAGTCCATGCTCAATAATCCAGGTATACAATCCAACATTTTTCAGTCAGGTCATCTGGACGGTTTCTTTTTTTGTGCTGAAACGTTTCACCTTCAGTCCGGAAGGCTTCATCAGTCAATGAAACACAACAACAAAACTGATTCTTCCCCCAACAGCTTACTCCAAAGTGGAACAAACCAGTTCTGCTTGTGATAAGATGGTCTCTTTGGTACGCCCCCTCCTCGATTGCCAGCCCTCTGCCTTGTTGACAGTCTTGTCAAACTGGTTGAAAACATTTCAGCACAAAAAAAAAAAAAAAAAAGAAACTGTCCAGATTGAAAAATGTTGGATTGTATACCTGGATTATTGAGCATGGACTTTGTTCTTTTCAACCAGTTTGACATGACTGTTAATAAGGAAGAGGGCTGGCAATGGAGGAGGGGGTGTACCAAAGAGACCATCTTATCACAAGCAGAACTGGTTTGTTCCACTTTGGAGTAAGCTGTTGGGGGAAGAATCAGTTTTGTTGTGTGTTTCCTTGACTGATATAGCCTTCCGGATCGAAGGCGAAACGTTTCAGCACAAAAAAAAAAAAAAGAAACTGTCCAGATGACCTGACTGAAAAATGTTGGATAATCATTGAATAAACACAGTCAACTGATTACCTTATTGAATTAACTTGATCCAAAGTGGCAGCCAGAGTAAATCAACAAAAATGGCTGTAACTTAATATACAGGCCCTTCTCAAAATATTAGCATATTGTGATAAAGGTCCTTATTTTCCATAATGTAATGATAAAAATGAAACTTTTTTATATTTCAGATTCATTGCACACCAACTGAAATATTTCAGGTCTTTAATTGTTTTAACACTGATGATTATGGCATACAGCTCATGAAAACCCAAAATGCCCGTCCCAAAAAATTAGCATATCATGAAAAGGTTCTCTAAACAAGCTATTAACCTAACCATCTGAATCAATGACGTAACTCTAAACACCTGCAAAAGATTCCTGAGACTTTTAAAAACTCCCAGCCTTGTTCATTACTCAAAACCGCAATCAAGGGTAAGACTGCCGACCTGACTGCTGTCCAGAAGGCCATCATTGACACCCTCAAGCAAGAGGGTAAGACACAGAAAGAAATTGCTGAACAAATAGACTGTTCCCAGAGTGCTGTATCAAGGCACCTCAGTGGGAAGTCTGTGGGAAGGGAAAAGTGTGGCAGAAAACGCTGCACAACGAGAAGAGGTGACCGGACCCTGAGGAGGATTGTGGAGAAGGGCTGATTCCAGACCTTGGGGGACCTGCGGAAGCAGTGGACTGAGTCTGGAATAGAAACATCCAGAGCCACCGTGCACAGGCGTGTGCAGGAAATGGGCTACAGGTGCCGCATTCCCCAGGTCAAGCCACTTTTGAACAAGAAACAGCGGCAGAAGTGCCTGACCTGGGCTACAGAGAAGCAGCACTGGACTGTTGCTCAGTGGTCCAAAGTACTTTTTTTCGGATGAAAGCAAATTTTGCATGTCATTCGGAAATCAAGGTGCCAGAGTCTGGAGGAAGACTGGGGAGAAGGAAATGCCAAAATGTCAGAAGTCCAGTGTGAAGCACCCACAGTCAGTGATGGTCTGGGGTGCCATGTCAGCTGCTGGTGTTGGTCCACTGTGTTTTATCAAGTGCAGGGTCAATGCAGCTAGCTATCAGGAGATTTTGGAGCACTTCATGCTTCCATCTGCTGAAAAGCTTTATGGAGATGAAGATTTAATTTTTCAGCACGACCTGGCACCTGCTCACAGTGCCAAAACCACTGGTAAATGGTTTACTGACCATGGTATTACTGTGCTCAATTGGCCTGCCCACTCTCCTGACCTGAACCCCATAGAGAACCTGTGGGATATTGTGAAGAGAAAGTTGAGAGACACAAGACCCAACACTCTGGATGAGCTTAAGGCCGCTATCGAAGCATCCTGGGCCTCCATAACACCTCAGCAGTGCCACAGGCTGATTGCCTCCATGCCACGCAGCATTGAAGCAGTCATTCATGCAAAAGGATTCCCGACCAAGTATTGAGTGCATAACTGAACATGATTATTTGAAGGTTGGCGTTTTTTGTATTAAAAACACTTTGGTGGGATGAAATATGCTAATATTTTGGGACAGGCATTTTGGGTTTTCATGAGCTGTATGCCATAATCATCAGTATTAAAACAATTAAAGACCTGAAATATTTCAGTTGGTGTGCAATGAATCTGAAATATATGAAAGTTTCATTTTTATCATTACATTATGGAAAATAATGACTTTATCACAATATGCTAATTTTTTGAGAAGGACCTGTATTTAACAACTGTTGAGCTATAATTTGCTGAGGCAGTGGCTGAGACTCAGCTACAATACAAACGTTTAGCACCAACAATCACTTCTTCATTTCAAAAGTTTGAATGCGGAAATGCAATAATAGGCATTCCTTCAAGGATTGCTAGGTTTTTATTTAAATAGTCACTAATATGTGATTAACACCTTATGAAGTTGTTTTTTTAATCTAGTCTGCAAAACAAAGATGGAAAAAATGTGAAACTGTGAAAAGAATTGTCCAAAAACTGATCCAGACTTATTTTTTAATTAAAGTCCATAGTTTTAAGGCTGTCACTGGAACAAATGTTCTCATGCTCTTTCAAAGAAAACAAGTTTTCACTCATGCCCAGCAGAGGGCTTCTGTCTTCAAGTTCCTGCTCTCCAGACCTGAGGAGGAGGAGGAAACCAGAGCTATAAAGTTGATCTTTGTTCCAGTGTGTGACGAGGATGGAGCTGGAGATCTAAACAAGGAGCTGCACAGGACCAGCAGTCTGACCTTTGGGTTTTACAGATCCTTGACCACACCCTGCAGCCTTCTAACTATGAAGCTCTGGACTGTACTTGTTCTGATTCTGCTCTGCATGGAGCTCCAGGACAGTAAGTAACGTCTTCAACTGTTGAGGAAATTCACTAACAAAGCATTAAAACAGCTGATGACATCATGAAGACGACTCTGGAGGAGAAGAAGGTGGATGTGAAGCCCTAACACCTGAAGAGGATCCAAATTGTGCGTGTGTGTGTTTGTGTGTGAAGAGAGGTCCATTCACCCTAAAGATCTCTACCTGCACACTCTGTTTAAGTGTTTATCATTTCATCATTGCTGTGGAATTTGCAGCTGCTGATTTGCTTTATTTGCATTTTAAACGTGTTATTGATCAAACTTCCAGAGACATTAATGGAGTAAGTTTTTCCACAGAAATACAAATAGAAGGAATGCAACAGCTGTTTCTAATTATAAGCTTTTTACAGCTGACCTTCCCTCTGAGCTCACTTCTGGTTTGCTCTAAAAGAAGCAGAATATAAAAAGAAAATGTATTCTAAACTCGCCAAGACCAGCAGAAAACTCAAAGTGAAATGTTCAAGAATTTGAATCTGGATTCCAGCCCTCGTCTCGTCATAGCTGAGCAAGTTCCTCCTCTTGCCTCTGCAGGTGCCTGCCAAGTGCTGAAGAGAAAAAAAGACGGAGAAAACCGAAACCGCCCAGGCTGGAAACGGGTGAATGCTCGTCTCCCTGATCTGAACGGCAAAAATGTCAAAAGCCATTCCCTGCTGACACAAGTGCTAGATAAGGGCCAATTCCTACGCCTGGGTGAGAGCACAACCCTGACTCCTGGGAGGAACATGGAGCTGCGCTGCAAAGGAGGCCATATTGGATGGTCCTACCCCACTTACCTGGACATCTTCAATGACTCACGTCTCAGGTACTGCTGGGAAACATCTGCTGTCACAAAGGAGGTTGGTGGATTGTTTGCTTTATTCATTTTTATGTTCTGCTCGCAGCATCACACAAAGTGACAAGTACAGTCAGCTGGTCCTGACTTCACCCTCAGCTGCAGACACCGGACCCTACAGCTGCTGGGTCATCGTGTGTGACGGAGCAGAATGTCAGAGAGACCCAGACCGCACCTATACCTCATACATTTATTTCCCAGGTGAGTCACCCTCTTATCATTCTCTACTGTGGCAATTTCCTTATATAGGGTGAGTGGTGGTGCAGAGGTTAGAGAAGGTGGACCTGTGAACAGAAGGCTGCCAGTTCAACTCCCCAGACGACAACATCTAAATGTGGATGGGAAAGGTGAAGCATCCACACCTGCATCCACCCTCATTGATCCCACTCTGGGCCCTTGATCAAGGCCCTTAACCCCCACCATCTGCTCCCCCGGGTGCCCTAGATAGCAGTTCTCTGCTCCACACAGAGGGCTGTGGTAGCTCGGTGGTCTGCGGTAGCATCAGGAATGACATCCGGCGTAAAACCAATCGGCAAGTCTTCGTACGAGTTAGTTCATGTGCTGTGATAGGGGAAGTCATGTAAAGGTCATGGATGTTTTCACTTACTAATGTTAAATTAATATAGAACCATGTATGTGAAGAGTCTCTTTGTCAGGGAGGAGTCTGATAACTGATAACTTCTGACGCCTTCAACTGTGAAATGTGAAACAGAGGTCGTCTTGACCTGGTCTCTGTCTGATAACGGGTATTTAAGCTTTTAATAACTCATTGTCCACAGGCAGACCTTGTGATCAGGGCTTCGTATAACATCTTGTATGCCTGTTTTCAGTGCTGCACCCCTTTGAAAGAATTAAACTTGAATTGAAAAAATCTTGCATTTCTCTGTGTGGCTTATTTGATTAAGGAGATGATAGGATAATTAAATTATCCAACATGCTGACCCCTGAAGAAAGGAGCAGCTGAAAGAAAAAGGGATTTCTACACCCCACAGACACGTAGTGATAAAGTTGTGAGAAGAGTGTTTCCCTCTTAGTTTTTCTGTTTGTGTTTAGTGTTATTCTTGTTTCCAGGTTTATTGTAGCTTCAAGTTTTGTTCCCTCCTTAGTCCTGATGCATGCTCAATAATCCAGGTAGAAAAATCCAAAAAAGTTCAATCTGGTCCTCTGGACTTTCCAAAAAAAAAAAAAACAAAGCAAAAAAATATAGAAATGTTTCATCTCTCATCCAAGAGACTTCCTCAGTCTGAGGTGCTGTTTTCAGCTCAGTCTCTTAAATAGCACCTTCTCAGAGTGGATCAACCAGTTTTGCTGCTGACAACCAAAACCAGCTGATCACATGCTCAGGAAGGACCATCAGCCTAACAATGGATCATTAGCACACTGATGGCTGTTTACTGTTCACAGAGGGCTGAGTGATACTAGCAATCACAGCGTTGTAAGAGGGGGACAGTTGAACCCGGAGGCCTCCACCCCTGTTTAATGATGGATGATTTCTTTTCACAAAGATGGCCTCCTTTACTCCTCTCTCAAACCATCGTTCCTCTCTGTCCAGGATGTGAACATCTTCATCCCTGAAAGAGTGACCGCTGGCCTGGAGATGAGTGTAGACCGCAGAGTCCTGGCCTGATGATGTTGATCATCTGTGCACAGAAGATCAACATCATCGGGTTCAACTGTCCCCCTCTTACAATGCTGTGATTGCTAGTATCACTCAGCCCTCTGTGAACAGTAAACAGCCATCAGTGTGCTAATGATCCATTGTTAGGCTGATGGTCCTTCTTGATCATGTGATCAGCTGGTTTTGGTTGTCAGCAGCAAACTGGTTGATCCACTCTGAGAAGGTGCTATTTAAGAGACTGAGCTGAATACAGCACCTCAGACTGAGGATGTGTTTCTTATGTGTGTGTGTCTTATCTCACTCAGCCTTATAACCTGAATCTCTCACTCTCTGCTCATTGAATTGAGAAAGCGCCTCTGATGAGGAGCGAAACGTCTTCCATTACAAAAGAAGTCCAGTTTTTGTACTGAACGTTTTTTTTTTTTAATTAAACCATGTTGTAGTTCTGGCCTTTCTTATAGTGTCACTTTCAGAAACTAAAGCAGTGGAGTAAAAAGCGTTACCACTTTTAGTTCACACGATATCATAAAAAGCAGCTAGACTTAGAAAACTGGGCGTTAAAGATGAGTAGGTGAAAAAATCTGCATACATTTTGTCCTCATCGTGTTTGGCTCCATGTATTTGCAGGTGTCTGTATATTCAGCAATAAATGTAAAAAGTTATTTTGTCTGCTTGACAATCTATTGTACCATTATTTAGGCAGCTCAGAGGGCATGTTGGATGAGTTGAGAACTTGTGTTCAGAGCATCCAACATTCAGGTAAAATGGTGAGTGAAGGTCAGCAGACACAGAGGTGGTCTCATATCTATGAGATCATGATGCTAGGCATCACAGCATCATCGGCATGTTGTGGAGTTCAACAGGGTTCACGTTGTGGGTTTTTGAAGATTCATTTTGGAGTTATGTTTTGTGCCAAATCTTACAGAATCTCAATTTTTTCACAGTAAAAAATGCAAACTGATAAACAATATTAATCTTTTTCTCCAAGCAGATAAGGATCATCTCTTCGTCCCATCTGTCAAACATTTTGAGATTGTGTACCTGCGTCCAGACCGGCCCACAGTTGTCCCCTGCCGTGTGACTGAGCCCCAAGCCAAGACATCTCTGCACAGAGAGGTTCCTCCAGAGGAAATCACAGGAAACAAAACTCAGATGACCTATGACCCCACTAAAGGGTTTGTACTGCAGCACCCCACCCTGCAGCTTCAGGGGGTCTTCTACTGCAAGGCTGTGTTCAAAGAGACCCCTCAAATTTCCACCAAGTACCAGTTGTTGTACGTTGAAGGTGAGGACACAGCAGTTACACAAACACTCACATGAATGCAACTTTCTGCAGGAGTACCAAGTTTTGTGTACGTTTACCATCACACAAAACTGTTAACTTCAGATCGCTTACTGACTAAAAGAGCCGAGAGAGGCGTTTCACAAGGTCATGAAACAAGAGCTGGTTACGTTAGTCTTTAGCTTCCAGGATAGTGGTTAAACACTAACCCTTATAGTCCAAAACTTCAATGACAGTTGTTATATGGGGGCCGAGATGGTGTAGAGGCAGGGCAGCTGGCTTGGGACCCAAAAGTCCCAGGTTCGATCCCCAGTCACTGCACATCACGTGGTGTCTTTGGGCAGCACACCTTATCCCCAAAATGCCTCCCGGGTGCTTTCAATAGCTGCCCACTGCACCACCTGGTGGTGGATGGGTTAAATGCAGAGACTAATTTCGCCATTGTATGGAAACATACAGTGCTGACATTGTGATGACATTATTATTATTATTATTATTAAATGCTTTATTTTCCCCCCATCTCTTGTGGATAGTTCCCAGTGGGCCACCATTTGTGAGCCTAGGAGCTTCTCCAGAAGCAGCGAGAGGGGATGGCATTGTCAACGTAACCTGCACCGTGCTGGGAGAACCAGAGGTAGATGTGAGCTTCACCTGGTCGTACCCTGGTCAGGTGAGAGAAATAAAGAGTGAAAATTAAATATGTTTTTAAAAAAGTTTGAAGTGTAACAATACTTTCTATCAACTTTCTTCTATAAACCCCATGTTTTCAGTAGGGGATGACGTTTGAAAATACCCTTCACTTTCAGATTTTATATAAAAAAAATAAAAAAAAGCCATAATAAAACTGAGGGCTTAAAGAGCCAGACCTAAAAGAAAACCATAAGTCCTATAGCAGTGAAAGACACAATGAGCAAAATACATTATGAAAACTGTATGCATGTACTAACATTTTTGTGAAAGTAAGATGACTTTGGTTGCATAAGATTAGAAAATTGTAGACAATTCAAAAAACCAGAGTGTGACATCAAAAGTCAGCTGAAAAATGAGTTGAAAAATATTTTTAAAAAATCATAAAAGCTTCGTCTAAAAACTGATTGTGTAAAAAATTTATAGGATATCAAAATGCCAGTTGAATTGTGTAAAACCCAAATTTCTGTTAGTTGTTTAATCTCCATTTAAATTTGTGCAGTCTGAGCTGGACTGCTACAAAGACAGCTAGGTTCTCTCCTTTTGACAAAATGTCATTGTGGTCTATGGGAAGATGTTTAGCAGGTTTTTTTGCACATTTGGTCAAAAAAGTACAATCCACAATATTCTTCATTAAGCTTGCATGTTTTATTTTTCCAAATCTGCTGAGCGTGAAAACGAACAGAAAATTGTGACAACAGAATAAGAATTGTGTTTCAAAGTTTGTGTAGGCCCCCTAACTAAAAGCTGGATCTCGGTGGAGGGAGAAGCAGAAACATTTCAGTGCATAGAAGTCATAAGTTCCATCCATCCATCCATCCATCCATCCATCCATCCATCCATCCATCCATCCATCCTCTTCTGCATTCTGAAGTTGGGTCATGGGCGCAGCATCTTGAGCAGAACGGTCCAGACTAGAGGATGACACAGGAGTGGATTTTCACTCCTGTCCTGTCCTGGTCCCACAGAAAAAAAATCCTGTCCTGTCCCACTCCTGGTAACATGACTCCTGCTCCTGTCCTGCTCCTGTTTTTCATTTAATTTTTAGGAAATATATTTAATTTGATTTGATCTTCTACCCATTCCTGTTTAAATTACTTTGTGTTGTGCAGTTTTGTTTCAAAAGATATGGCAACAGGAACAGTTCATCTGTGGTGAAATAGAGACATTTATTGCCTTAATCCAAACAAAAACCTTCACTAAATATCATAAAACAAATAATCCATGGCCTGTAGTTCATATAATTTTTCTACGGAGGATCAGCTGCTGAGTCCCTGTTTCCAGCTCTTTTGAAGGTCAGTTACAGTAAAAACAAAAAATCTAAACAGTCCATGGGTCACACCATGTCTACCTTAGATGAAAGAACCCAAACATAACAAGTTGCATTTTACTAATTTATTGAGCAATTGTTTCCTTTAAACTGTGACATTACTGTCATGTTGTAAATTGTTTAAACAAACAAACAAAAAAAGAAAAATAATGTACCAAGCAGAGAACTCAACAAATAAAAATGTTTGAAGACATTATTATACATTGGACGATGTCCTCAAGAAGTTCAGTCTATGTGGTCAAGGTAACGAGTTTGTTTGGGTGAAGCATGATGTCGTGCATCTTACCAGACTTCAGAGCATCATTTACAGACTGGACCATTGCAGGTCTGGTGTTCCACCTCATCTCTCCACAGCTTCAGTGACTGGTCCAGAGCCTTGTGGAACCTAAAAGTGAAAGACGACAGTGCACGAGTCAAAATAGGGTTACAGTGACGACAAATTACAATTTGTTGGCCTTTCTTTTGGAAAAAAATATTTGATCAAAAACAAGATATTTACAATTGAAACCAAGTAAAAAAATGTGACCTTTGCAAATATAAATTACAGAAGCTCAATGTTTCTTTATTTATTTCACTTATATTTTATAATTATTTAAGCAGCCTCACCAGGCAGACATTACAAGGTTTTATGTATCTTACCTGCTCTTTTGAAGTGTGTGACAAGGGTCTCCCCCCCCCCCCCTCCCCCTTGTCCTGTCCGGCATTGTGACACTTAGAATTATTGTCCGAGTGTCAAAGTGATGCCCAACAGATTTACTTTCACAAGCAGAGCATTATGGCTGGCGTTAATGCTCTGCTTGATATATAAATTAAATTTTATTAGACTATGCTTTGGGTTTGTTCCAGATGTAATGGACACGGGGACGGAAAACAAAGAAGATAAAGCAGAAAAGTGAGAGAAGAGTTAAAAGGTAAAGAAGGAGATAGGAATAGAGGAGAGAGAGAGGGATAAAGAGAAAACAAATCATCATTGAAGTCTGCCTCTAGACCTGCGGAAAGAGAGAAAACGCCCCGACAAAACCAAGAAACCACAACAAACAACAACTTGTATAATGATACTTATAACATCATTAGAAAGTATTTTATACAGTACATGGTAATACAAGATATATTTGATGGCCACCACAACCCAACTGAGTGTGTATCTGATAAACACCTGAATCTAAACACCTGTGTGAGCATGCTTATCACTATAAGGTTTCTCAATAAAAATGTTCAATAGTGGATGTGGGGACCCATAAACCCGTCCCCACAGGACACGAAGGTAACACAGGGAAGGCCGGAACCACAGACACACAGCGGCCCCCAAGCCCGGAACTCTGGTAGTCACCCAACAGGGACACCCGCACCCCCCAGAGAGGGAAGGAAAGGGAAGCCCCGGGCGATCCCCAGCAACCACAATGCAGAAACCCCCAGGAGGCCGTAGCGACGAGTCAACAGGCCCCGCCGGGTTGCCGGCGGGGCCTGGTTGAGGAAGGCTGGCCCAGCGCACCAATGCATCCCTAAAGCCCCACCCATGCACACCCCCCCCCACACACACACACACACACACAGCACCCCGCACTGTGAATGTCACATCAGGCCGACCAGCCAGCACTCCGTCGAAGTGAAGCCACTCCCCCGACCGCCGCCACGCACTACCAATGACCACACAGACACAACCATAGCCAACCTCCCGCCAGAACCCGGCAGCAACCCCAGCCAAAGGGCTGGCCATCGGAACCAGGAACCCTGATCAAGGGATCCAAACAATCCAGGGAGAACCAGAGCACCAGCCCCATCCCCAATCGCCCCCAAAGGCCCAATACCCACCCACAGCCCAGACCCCAACCAGGCAGCCTACCCCC